GGCCAACTTTTAAAACACATTAATAGAACTTAAACAATTACACAAAGGACTATACATAGCTAGAAATTGAAAACCAACAACACCAAAAACAAATAATTCACAACAATATAGTTAAATGCCAACAAAATTTTACTGATAATACTACCAAAATGATAGATAGCATTCTCAAAAGACAAAGTCAATACGTTCAATCAATTAATATTATAACACCTTCTACTGTAATTACAGAACCTAAAGAGATAAAAAAAGCTATATCAAAATATTTTGAAACCTGAACCAACTACAACCCTACAAATTAGAACTTATAGCCCAACTGGGAACAATATTATATACTAATTCTAATAATTAATGAACACGATTACTCCCAGCTAACTCTACCTATCACAATTTAGAAATTAACAGATACTATAACAAAAGCTCCAACTAACAAAGCCACCAGCCCATCTCTAATATCCAACGAAATGCTTAAACACCTACCCTTAGCTGCACTATCAAACATACTTAATATATTTAACAAGAGCCTAGAATTACAAATTATCCTATCAGTATAGAAAAAAGGCCTGGTCTGGCCAATAACAAAAAGCAGCTATACTGAAAGAAATCTTGATAGAATAAGACCTATTATATTAATCGAACATATAAGAAAAATACTAACAAAAATTATCATCAACAAACTTAATACAATCCTAATCAAACTAAACATACTTTTTCACAGTAATAATGTTGCACTCCCACTAACCTCCATGGTGCAATCTATCAACCAACTTACACACATAAGAGAAGATGTGATAACAAATAATAAAGAATTATGGATACTAGCTCAAGACACCTCAAAAGCCTACGATACAGTTCATATTCTACTTCTTATCAAAGCACTACAAAGAATACATCTACTAGAAACAATTATAAAATTACTAACAAATATTTTTTTAGACTACAACAATTAAGTACTAACCCAACTAGGAAGGACACCACCTTACCTGGTTCATGATGGATTAGACCAGAGAGAAACCATATTATCAATCCTTTGGAAAATATACTATGACTCTCTAATAACTCGAATTAGATCAGAATGTTAAGGCTACCAAATGTCTTCTACCTACCCACAAACTTACAACACTACATCCTTCAATACCTTAGTCATAGTTTACATGGATGATACAACATGAATTGCATCTAACAGAAAACAACTAAAATATATATTAAAAATTGCATACTCATTTTACTGTTTTGCAAATATCATAGTAAACCCAAACAAATCAACCCTTCTGCACAACAATACTAAGGACAACAACCCCATCATATTTCAAAACTACTATATATACAACCTTCCACACAATAAAACTCTACGCTTTCTGGGCATATATATTAATCACACTAAACAAAACTCAGTAGTAACAAAACAACTGCTAAAATCTTTTAATCAGCAACTAAGTAAATTAAAATATTCTCACATTACCAAAAAGCAGGCAATATATATCATCAATATTGTACTTCTAGCTTAACTCAAATACCAGTTGCAAAATACAGTGCTATCACTATCATCATGCAAAAAGTTAAAGGCAAACTATATTCAAATTGTCAAGCAAAAAGTATCACTAGCAAGAGGAGTTCCTAATTCAACAATCTTCAATTCACTAATCTATAATTTAAAAGACATAACACAAATACAGATATATGTACAATTGTTATTACTCTCCAACCAATTAGATTCTCTTTACCCTATCTTCAAAATCAGATTACAACAATTACAGAACAATGCTCTTACTAATATCTCAATATTAGCTTAAAAAGCAGTTTTTACCTCTATACAACATACTACCTTTACAAGTCAAATTATTGAGATAGCTCACAACTTCAATATAGCTTTTTGCAACCCACCTCAGGAATGGCCACAACTGATAAACTTTATAGGAACATCAATTAATGATATACTTCAAAATATTAAAGACGGAACCAAAATTAAAAAATTTACCAACAAACATCAAATAGTGATACTAAAACAATTCCTCAATTATGATTGTACAGAGTTTATCTTTTTGACACAATTTCACCACAATATATATAAAATTCTAAGAGGAAGAATTTCCAAATAGTTTTGAAATATTCAAAACTCAATTGAAGAACAAATATCAGTAACAACAATATTACCAAAAATGAACTCTTTTTTATAGCAACTAATCCTAAAAGATTACAAGCACAAATGGGTCATCACAAAACACAAATTGATAAGCAGAATCCAAATATATAACACATAGCAACCTATACTTCAACACTGGAATTTAGACACCAATAACAACAAACTAACTAAATATACAGGTTGCAAATATTCACAAACAAAACACAAATTTTGTAGAATTAAAATGTCTCTAGAAACAATATTTAGAATTAAAGTAAACCAGAAAAAGTTTTGGCATAGTAAATGGAACCAATTCATACTACCTGGAATACAACAGCAAACCCTACACCAACCCTTTATATATATACCTCAATGTCACAAACTATCATACAATATATCAGAAGTATTTACAAACATAAACAATAACATATAGTCAATGGCTCAAAATTTAACAAAAGTTTCAAAAGTCGATATACTAATATCAACAATTAAAAATAATCAAACAATCCCCATAGCATTAATCAAAATAAATAACAAATCATTACAGATATGCAATCAATACTGGCAAAAACTAAAAAAAATAGCAATTACAGTATTAATAATAATTGCTACTACTGCAAATTTCAACAACAAAATCTCAATACATACCAATTCTTCTAGCATAATCAAAA